TGGAAAGCCTACGCATATGCGTATATTACACATACACGTACACGCACCCTTATTATAGAGCTAAAACTGAACTTATCCTTCAAAAGCCACTTGGAAAGCCTACGCATATGCGTATATTACACATACACGTACACGCACCCTTATTATAGAGCTAAAACTGAACTTATCTTTCAAAGTCACTTGGAAAGCCTACGCATATGCGTATATTACATATACGTACATGCACCCTTATTCAGTGATGTACATGGACAATGTCCATGAAAAAATCGGTGGATATGGACAACTTTGGACAATGTCCAATGTCCATGTCCATATGATTGTCAGCAGGCAAGAATGTACATGGACAAATGTCCAAACCAAATTATTGTCCATGGACACTATAATTAGTTAAAGGTTTTACTCTCATGCTTTTTCATTAGCTATAAAATCCAGTATACATAAATGATATAATAGGTTACATACATTTCATACAAACATTTTTTATTAAACTAAATACGTATTGACGATTCTAATTTTTATTCATTAACAAATATTCATTAAGTTATCATGTATAACAAACTGGAGCCCATTACTATTACAATTAAATGCGTGAAACTAATACTTGCATGCTTGTAATTTATCGCTGTTTGTAAATGATATATCTTTGATCTAAGATAATATAGATATAAAAAGTCATAAGAATATTTTATTTGCATTAAATTTTATTAAAAAATACTTTACAATCGACAATTAAATAATATGCATATAAGCTGCGATGTGCAGAATTTGATCAAAGATATATCCTTTTACAAATGGCAATAGATAATAAACTTAAATATCTTTTAAACTGTAAAAAGTTTTGCTTATATTACAATAAGGTCAGATTTTTTTTAACTATAATTGTTAAAACCTATATCAAATAGCTCTGTACATAATTACAGAATTCTATTATATATTGTTTGGACATAGTTATTTTTCTTGGACATAATATTTGTTGTCCATGGACGTGGACTGTCCATGGACAGTGCATGTCCATGTCCATGTCCATGTCCACTGACAACACTGCCCTTATTATAGAGCTAAAACTGAACTTATCTTTCAAAAGTCACTTGGAAAGTCTACGCATATGTGTATATTACACATACACGTACACGCACCCTTATATAGAGCTAAAACTGAACTTGTCCTTCAAAAGCCACTTGGAAAGCCTACGCATATGCATATATTACACATACACGTATACGCACCCTTATTATAGAGCTAAAACTAAACTTGTCCTTCAAAAGTCACTTGGAAAGTCTACGCATATGCGTATATTACACATACACGTACACGCACCCTTATATAGAGCTAAAACTGAACTTGTCCTTCAAAAGTCACTTGGAAAGTCTACGCATATGTGTATATTATATTACACATACACGCTCTCTTATATAAAATAAATTTAAAATATTATTAGCTCACCATCTCTACACCATACCTGCGCTGACGTGCCAGCTGGTGCATCATTGGCATCGCCAAGTTCGTTTGGAATAAAAGCTGAGTTGGCCAAGCAATCTGCAAAATTGACCAGAGTTATAATCAATCGGTTCTACCATTAGATTATAGTCAAAATCGGCCATAATAAATATTATCTGTCACTTAAAAGTTATGCCTTAATAAATACTTGAAATGGACAATAATAAATTCAAAATAACTAAAAAAAAATTTTTATAAAATAATTTATTATCGCTGTTTTCGAAATGGTTGAGAATGGCGAGATTTACAAAAAAAAATTTTATATGAAAACCCGAAAACCCGATTAGTTTAGAACAATGATCAATAATCGATTATACACTTGCATAATGTTTCAATGTTCTAAATTAATCGGGTTTTCAGGTTTTCACATAAAAAAAATTTTTTTTTTGTAAATTTTGCTATTCTCAACCATTTTGAAAACGGCGATAAATCATTGCACACATTGAATACTTTAATCTGTGAATTGAATATTAAAAATCTAATAATTCAATGTAACAGTAGTATTATATTAGAGAACTTGAATTTAGAATAAGTAAACTACATACAATTTTGGAAGTAAAAGACCACTTATAAGTTTATTAAGCAATATTTAGCATGTACCATAAAATAAAGACGTTCAGAAGCTTACCGAATGATATATGAAGATAAAAAATCGTTCGCAGATCTAAAAATATCACCAGATTTACCAAAATTATATAAATGTATGATCTAATTAGCCAGCAAACTTACCAAATGATAAGAAAAATTGAAATGCCCGAGAATTTAAATAGATGGCTGAGCTAAGATTGTAATGCGTGAAAGAAAATCTTACTTCTAAGAAAAAAGATTAATATAAATTAGCATTGCATCTTTTATAACTACAATAGATATAGTCGAGAAAACACTATTCTTAATTTGGGATTAACACTTTACAAGTATATGGCATATCGGCTCAAAATAATATTACTGAACCAATATTTGAACCCAAGCTCGTATACTGTAAAGCGAAATATCAAAAATTAAGAATTACTCTTTCTTCTAGGCCCGTATAAATATTTTATTTGTCATAGAATGTAATAAAACCTGCACAGCATACCAAATAAAAGTTGAAAATTAGCGCAATCCATTTTAACAAACAAGAGATATTCTAAATTAATTACAAAATCGAATTAAATGACGATACTTATCATGTTGGACAAATGTTTATGTAGAACTTCATTGAAACAATAGAAAGCTTGCTGTATCACGTATTACTTTGCTATACATTCGTCTTTTTAGACTATTCTATCAAGATAACATTCAACAAATGTATACGTTCCTGTTATCTATATCAACAGGTTTTTTGATAATAAATGAGTCACTCATGTCGATTTTTTCAATCCCAATCTCATTATAATAATAACCGCCCTTAGTATAACCGTATCAGCAGACCATAATAATAATTTATTACCAATTCCTCATAGAAAATGTCTACATATTCACAAAGTTAGTTATAAGTTCATTCTTTTCAACTCAAATTCAATATAAATATTAACTTCTAACCTTATACCAAAGAAATAACTCAACAAAAACAAGATATAACTGTGGAAACACTATATGGGATCTCGCCTTGCTGTTCGCGTGGTCTACAGCAGGTTTCTAGCATCGTTAATCTATCCTATTTTATTTCCCATTTCTTTGATATCCGAACTGTTCGGTCGGACCATCAAAGTACTTATCTTCGACATCTGGGTTGTCTATCCAGGCTATTAATCATACCAATAACTACCAAATACCCCAATACAGAGCACTTTCTTTGCCTGGCGGTGGGTGGGTAGGTGTCAACGACAAAGCGAGGCCTGCGTTGAGCTAACAGCAAAGACAAAAGAGGAAGAACACATTTCCGTTTCTCATCTCTTAAATAGCCATTTACTATGACCTCATACTTACCATAATTCAATCAATCAAATCGATACTCATCACACAATACATCATACTTACAACTAGAGATGGGCACACGCGTGATCCGCGCGTGATTTCGCGCGGGATGTGCGGGATTATTTTAGAGCCCGCGCGGGATTTTTAATATGATCCCAGGTAAAATTATTTGGCCGGCATTATCATATTATCTGACTGGCATTAATATAATATCTGGCCTGCATTGACATACTTACCGTAAATTTCT